CATCTTAGTCTAAAACTCCAAGTCCATCAAAGTTTAAACAAAAGTCAAACTGGTAATAAATTCAATGGTCAACAGTCAGTCGTGCCACGACCCAGCTCTTAGTTGCGTCTGACCATTATGTAACGTCCCAAAAATACCGATAAAAAATTTCATTTTAAATCATTAATTCCATACAACCATTCCCAACACAAATCAGAGTGAAATGTATTTTCCAAACATCAGAGTAAACAAATATAATCAGTGCGGAAATGTCATCAGGGGATGATGTGCAATCAAGCCAGACCCTATCCTTTGGAACTGGAGGTATCTGAAAAATGTTAAACCACAAACCGTAAGCACGAAGGTTAGTGAATTCCCCAAAATACCACATACCAAACACATGAGCGCAGCCCAACATGCAACGGGCCCAACCCAACATGTAAATAGGCCAAACCCAAAATACATAAAAATAGGCCCATCCTAATATACATACAAATGGGTCCAGCTCAACATATATATAAATGGGCCCAACCCAACATACATGTAAACAGGCCCAACCCTACATGCAAATGGGCCCAGCCCAACATACATGTAAAGGGGTCCAACCCTACATGAAAAGGGTCTCCGAGCTGATGAAGGTCTCTGAAAGCCCTCTTTCCTGCTTCAAGTAGAACCTATGGGCCCAGCCCAACATACATGTAAAGGGGCCCACCCCTACATGCAAATGAGCCTAGCCCAACATACATGTAAATGGGCCCAACCTAACATACACATGCAAGAGTCACAAAGACAACCAGCATCCTACACAGTATAGTGAGAAGACTCGTCTCAATCTGAAGACAGACAAATCTCACACTCGAGTTGCTGATACTGGAACTCCTCACACTAATCATATACACAATAAGACCCTAATCAGAAATTAAGGTAATAAACCGTACTCAAGGGTCTTAGGTCATAGTTACTATCTCTAGGTAAAAGACCATTTTACCCTTTCAAGACTAGAACCCAGTCCACTTGACCAATAATCCATTTTGTCCAAAAATGACTCTTCTAGTGCTACGCCCAGCATACACCATGCTCTACGCCCATCGTAGAACCTCTGACAGAAAAACAAGGACACTTTAGGATACGCTAAGCGTAGCCGAAATTCCGCCCAACGTAGCACGTTGTTTTGCCAATTTAATAAGAAGCTCTTAATGTACAAAGACTAACCATCCATTCATCAGATATGGACCTAAAGAAGGTCCTAAGGGGTAAAGTCTTTGACTTTACACCTTTGCATGGCAAAAAGGGCACAAGAAAAAACCCTAAGTCCATAAAACCTTCAAATGCTCAAGAGCTCATGCATGGATGGATGGATGGGAGTGACCAATCTCCCATTTTTATGACTCAACAAGCTTAAAAACGTCTAGAAATGACACTCATAAGGTCTGGAGTAGCTCATAGCTATAGTTTAAAAAATAGCAATATACTTTGGCATCAATAAATGCATATTGATTTGGTAATTGTGTTTGTAATTGTTTTTTTGTCCTAAGTGCAAGAAATAGCAATATACTTTTGGTATTTCTTATATTTAAGTGCTAGAAATAGCAATGTACTTTAGTAGTTTTTGTTTATGTTTGATAGTTTAACTTATAAGTTTATATATGTTATTATTTATTATGTAGTTGGAAAAATCTTCAAGCAATGCTCAACGACCCAGCGTGTAGGGATGAACTTTATGCGTTTTTTAATCAGAGAAAGATTAATGAGGAAACAAGGGGAACGAAGATGATGGTTCGTCAGATAATTAGTTTGTATTTTGTATGTTAGACTTGTTGGAATTATAACACTTTGGTTGTTTATTTTTGTATAAATTATAACACTATTTGATACCTAATCGGATGTCGTTATGTAATTTTTTTTCCTGCATTTAATGTCGTTGCGTATCGGTTTTTGCATCCAAAAATGTTGATTTAAAAAAAACGTTATAAAAAAAATGAAAAATACTATTACTGACGACAGATGGAATTACCGGCGCCAAAGTTTATAGCGGCGATAGAGGGTATTACCGGCGACAAGAGCATTAGCAGCAACAATTATTTTACCGGCGACATTTTGAGCAATAGCGATAAAGCAGTACCGACGACTTTTTACCGGCGACATTTCTAGCCTTTACCGGCGACTTTTATCGTCGCTAATTCTTTTTTCTTGTGGTGTTAGAGAAGGTAGTTGCAGGAACACCAACCTTGTTATAGATATAGTTTCTTTCATTTAATCATGTTTTTCCAAATTATGCAATTGATGTTCGCTATTGCTGAGATGGGTTGAAGATAAAAAATTATCTGAAAATGGTGATTGCAATTTATATGTAACTAACTTCAAGTTCGTTAGTGGTCTTATAAATTGTTGTTAAAAAAAACAAAGCATTTCATGCATTACATGCATTACAGAGATGTTGATGATTTCCATGCTTAATGTACATATGAAAAAAAAATGCGGCAAACTTTCCGTAGAAGATAACCGTGGAGCTTGCGAAATGGAGGGGAGGAGTGGATAAGGAGAAGGTGAGGGGGTAATTATGATTTGTGGGTCCATTTTAGTCTTATAAAATTATAAATAACAGATAAATAATGAAGAATCTGAAAATGAAATAATGTATTTTGGGATCAAACATACGTGTTACTACAAACCAAAATGACCATTCCTGTAATTTACTCTATTTTTTCAAAAAAAAGGTAAATTAGGATGAACTAAGGAAGAAAGGTTAGAGAAAAATGAAATTAAATAAAAATGGTGGTTACCATTTATCAAAAGAGAAAGGATGGAGACAAAAGCGTATATAGTATCCACCACCCTGTCACATGGGTGTCGCTTTCTAATGTGCTATTAAATTAAGAAATTGAGGCAACATGTTTACCGGTAGGAGGAATATATGCTTAATGCATGCATCTTATTGTGAATATCAATCTTTATTTTCATACCTCCACTCCACCAGCTGGCATTCAATGTCAATACTCCAACTTCTAAACAACAATTTTCTCATTTAACAATACACTTGTATGTTGTATGTGACTTATTTTTCTTTTCTTCCATACTCTCTTTATACAAATACATATTAAAATACATGTTGTAATCCCCATATTCTCAAACAAATCAACAATAGTATTTAATTAATAGCATGTCACATGCGATTTTCATTTGAAGTTGAAACCAATGTTTCTTTAGATTAATTGATGTGAATTTGTTAAGCATGCATTATTTGAACCTTGTATTCCACATAACAATTAAGATGGTCTCATTCTACTTGCAAAATTAATATTTTTTTTTTAAAAAAAAAAAAAAAAAAGGGTGTCAAGGCATTATTATTGGTGAAGATAAGTTTTTGTCCTTGTTACAAGAAAGTAGGGATCATCTTTTTTTCAACCTTAAATCCTAAAATGGCTGGTATATTATAATATCATTCTTTATTTTTTTCTTTCTAAAAAGCTTGCAATCATTTACAAATCTCACTCATAAAATAATCTATCTTTTTTCATAAAAATAAAATAGAAAAGGTTATAATGATTGAAGAAATGATCGAACTATTATTTTAAAGAGACAACAAACAATTATGCCCCTAATCACCTTCTGTTTCTCCAACAACCATACAAAGAAACAAAAACTACCAACCATTAAATAATCAACCATAACCAAAAAGAAACATTTAGTTAAAATAAATAGTAATAATAATAAATAGACAAACATGCACCAAATGACATCTAGTTATCATTATATCAGATGTTGTCTTTTCTTTTGATGTTGAGGTTCATGTCCAGAGATATAAAAAAAATAAACAAACATGTAAATACCATAATAATAATTATAAAATTATAAAATAATCATCTTTTAAATAAATATATAATAGACTAATCACTTATTTATAAATTGACTTTGCAACAAGAAATTGTAAATTTTTTGAAATTATTTCTTTTATGATTTTTATTTTGAAAAATTAATCTTATTTTACAAAATTGCTCTTATTTATGAAAAATCTCTTAGTACTGATCCTTCATTATACGATTGCACAAATTAAAACAATTTTATAAAGTTTATTTATGGAATATAAAATTACTAAGAGAATTTTAAAAAAACAAAAAAAAAAAAAAAAAAAATTGGGGCTAGCCTACTTGGCTAACAAGAAAGTTCCTAATCTAACAACTAACTAGGAGGTTTTGAGTTCAATCCCAGACAGAGAAGATATTTAAATTATTTTCCGTTTCAAAAAAAAAATTATGACGCTTTTCGCTCCTTAATGACCTCAAACCGTATAGTTTTTAAAATCTATTTGTATCAGGATGATTCTATTTCATTCTTCCTATCTAATTCTCGTATCCTCTATCTATAAACATATATTTTATTTAACGTGTTATAATTAAACAAAAAAATTATAAATATCTTATATCTAAAATCATGGAAGAAATATGTGTAATAGACCAATAGGATCCTATTATTATAATTATATAAAATCATGGAAGAAGTATGCTATTTTACCTCGTTAAATATGTATTTAAGCTTTACTTTTTTATTAACTTTTGCTAATTAATTTGTATTATAAAATGTTTAATAATACTTTTTGTTTTCTATGACATCGAATATTAATAATATCTTATACTTTATGCTTTATCAAATAGTTTATTAATTTGTTTTTTCTTATATATCCGTATTATAATATTTTGATTTAATTAAATATTATTATAATTTTTTAATGTGCTTAAAATAAAAATGATAGGCTAATATAATAGATGCTCTAATCTTTTTCTTGGAATAGTGTTTGGACTTGTCTAGACAAACAGAAGAGAAGGAAGATGATTAAGACTTGTGGTCTAGGGTCGTTGTTACCTGACTCCAGCCTTTTGTGGGCCCAAAACCTTCCCCTTCCATAACCCACCTGCTGCTTTTATGTCTATGTATATATACACATATCTCTTCTCACCCATTTTCCTCAAAACAAATACTCCCCAATTTCCATCTTCAATTCATCACAACATTAACATCCAGTAATGGCGAGAGGCGGAGGCGGAGGTAAGCTAACGAAGCTCAAGTCCGTGTTAAAGAAGTGGCACTCCTTCGGAAAACCTTCAGTGCGTAGCACCGGTGGCAATGCTATTGCCGCCGACCCAAGACATTGCCACGCTGTGTACGTCGGAAAATCACGCCGGCGTTACCATATAAGCTCTGAGGTGGCGGAGCATCCCGTGTTTCAGGAGCTGGTGGAACGTTCCGGCGATGGAGAGACGGTGGATTGTGAGGTGGTTCTGTTCGAACACTTGTTATGGATGCTTGAAAATGCAGACCCTCAACCGGATTCTTTGGAGGATTTGGTGGATTTGTATGCTTGCTAATTTGATCCGAAATTGCTTCTTCTTCTTCTTCTTCTTCTTGCTGATTAGTTTCTAATTCAAACTTATCATACCATTTATAAACTAAGAAATCCACCTAAATCCTAATTGTATTGTTTTGTATTCTGGTTCACATTCATACTTTGTATTGTAGAGATGAGGTGAAAGGATATTTAGAGGCAACAATTGTAACCAATTTCAAAAGAAAATGCATGCTTCCATATAAATTTGTCGTAAAAGAATGTATGTATGTATGTATGTATGTATATGGAACTATGTATGTATGTGTAATGTTTTACTTTAATCAATGTTATATTTAGAAAAAACATATTTAGGTTTATTTATCAAATTTTCATAGAATAAAGTATGATTAGAAATTAAGCAATAATTTGTTATTGTATTATGAGGTTAATGTCGTTGTTGAGTAATTGACATGAACTATTTATTTTAATTTTTATGAAAAACATTTTTTTTTTAAAAAGTACATTAAATCGTAAATAATGTGAACATTTTCTTTGAAAATTACCCTTATCTTAATACTATTTTGTAAGCAATATGTTCCAACGACTTACATTAATATTTTCTTTTTGAAAATGATAATATTTTATAAGAAGAAAACGTTTTATTACCCATTTATGACATTACCACTAATTATATGTATTAAAAATAAACAAAATTCATTTTCAAAATATATATTATGTTATTATAAAAAACTAAAAACTTATAATTTTTAAAGGTGATTTTTTAAAAGCGGATATAGTTTGAAAAGACTATGATGCTAAAATATTACCACTGTGATTCTAAAAAATTACCGAAAAGAACATTTACAAAAGAGTTTTTTCGTTATATTTTTTTTAGAATGTCTTGACATCAACTTATCAATTTGAAAAACTCAAAAGATCTCCACAATATTAGACATGTTTCATCAACTTAATAATGAGTTCCATAGATTTTGATTTATAATTTCTTTTGACTAGCTGAATATTATTATCATCAACTAGCAAGAAGCTAGAAAAAAAAAACAATTACAAGACATTTTGGATCATTGGGTTTTGTAACCATAAAATCCAAATGATAGTGTTTTTTCTACATCTATTTGAAAGCCAATCAAAAGAGTAAATAAAAATACTACCAAAAATGTTACTTCTTTTCAATCTAGACTTATGAAAGATGCCACTATTTTTATAACTCCAAATCAACCGAATAGATGCCAAAATAATAACATCCAGAGCCTTCTCCTTTATATTTGGTAAATAAATCATCTCCATCCAAGATAATAACTCAACAACATAAAGAAATAGAGGGGATGGGAGGTTTAACCATTTTAACACTTTTAACCAAACTTGGTTCGCCACTTCACACGAGACAAAGACATGATTAATAATTGATTGTAAATTTAAAAGACCCATTATAATGATTGAAAGCACTCCAACCAATAGCTTAAAAACTACAAGCTTAATTGAAAACGTTCTCACAATAAGGAAGGAGTTTTTTCAAAGCTTTTCCAAAATAGAAAAACTTAAAACTCACACACACATATTATGGATACTATAAGACTGGAAGGAGTGGGAGTCGCTACCCCACTCGCTAAGCACGCTAGGAAGACTTGAGCACCGCCCCCTAGCACTCGCTAGGGGGGTCGCTAACATCCGCTCTCTGCATCTTTGACGAGAAGAGAGAGAATTGGACGCACGAATCTGATTGGTTGAAGGGGTTGGACCAGATTGCTTAAAGCCTTTACCAAATTCAATTTAACTCATAAATTTAAGGCTATAAAAATCGGAAGGAAAACTTACAGCCGAGCTTCTGTGAGGCATGGTGAGAATTCTAGAGAGAGAGGGGGAGAGGCGGTAGGAGGTAGAGAGAAAAAGAAAAAATAGAGTATTAGGAGTATTATCACTCCCTACCAAATGCTAAGATTAAGTGTTAAAATGAGAAAAATGAGGTGGCATTCAAAAAGCTCAAATGGCAAGGTGCTAGAAGTGTTACCACTCCCTCCAGCCTAAGCAAGTGCACTATAGATATAATGTGATATTGTACAATATGTTGGTATGTTGATAATTGGAGGAAGAATGTAGGTTATGGTTGTGTTGATGTGAAAGCATTTGTTAAAGGGGATGGTGCGCCACACATAGTGAAACCATTCAGCAATTGGTTTGGTTTGGTCTGGTGGGTTCTACATATGTATTTTTTAGGGACAACAAAAACCAAAACACATGTTTTTGCTTGCTATCTTTACTATATATACATGTTTTCTTTTCTTCCTTTTGTTACGTTTTCAAATTGCCTTTGATATACTATTTTAACATAAAACTATACAAGGTAAAATGTGAATGTTAGCATATTGTACATGCGGATATAGCAATAGAGACTATACTTGCACATTTTCTACATTTTAAAGGGTTTTAGTAAATAAACCCCTATTGATGAAACATGTATGTAGGCATCATACATACATATATATCATATAATCGGGGTTCACTTAAGATATTCATTTTAAAATAAAATAGATACGAAAGCATATAGATTTTACACTTCAGATACACTATTAATCTGCTCTTGTGAAACCCCAACGATTGGGTTAACTTATTAGTTTGACTTTTTACCATGTTTTTGTCTTAGAACCGATAATTACGGTTGACTTGGACTTTTTAGATGCAACATAATTTTCCTCATTTTGTCATTTTGTATATTGTAGTCATTGTCATTCTCCAATAAATCGGCTAATACATTTTGTTAATCGATTCTAGAATCAACGCAAGGATTAGTAATACCATTATCAATATCATACCCATACTAGTCTTTATAATTCCGTTTTACATGCAAAACAAAGCCACACGATAGGCAAAAAGTAATTGTAATTATCTTCCTATTTAATTGTTAACAAATAATTATTACTATACCCTTCATCAATCTATCAATTTTGCACAGTTGCACTCACATGAATGTTAATAGAGATGTTGATATTTTTTCCCTTCAATTCATTAAAAAAAAATCTCCCTTTGACCGGACTACATTTAAGTGGTAGCCGCCTGTTTGCGATATTTCTGTGGGAGGCTGCTGCTGCTGGAATGCTAAGTTGCTTTCCACATCCCACACACAGCTTGCATAAGCCATCATGATTATCCACTTCACTTTCTTCTTAAATTACCAGTTGATTTTTTTTTTCCATGGATGTTAATTAGGTATAATATTATACGATATTATATTGTTAACTTGTATATAAACAGGACATAAAATGTTTAATTTTCAAAGGAAATATATATAAGTTATTTTTTAGGGAACACTCAAGGTGTAATAATTATTGATAAATTGTGAAATAGAATGTCACAATTTGTCAATTTGTGAGTTTGTATAGAATGTGGACCACAACTAGAAACAAACAAATGAAATGAACCGAAGCTAGAAGACATGCCGTTTACAATTATAAAAGAAGCACAAATATGTGTAAAACCCATTATATATAGTTATTTACACGAAAGGTCCATGTAGTTTGGGATAATTTGTGTATTTGGTTTCTAACTTATTTTTTTTAACTCTGACAATCCTTAAGATTTAATTTTGTTTCGTAATAAGTCTCTACCATTCCTTAAATAACTGTTATACCATATATATATATATATATATATATATATATATATATATATATATATATATATATATATATATATATATATATAGGCTTAGGTTATTCTATTCTAATTAATTATTGTGTGGATGTAGGAATGATTGTGGGCCAATCATTTTACTTATTTTTGGAAAGTGAATAATATATATTATTAAATTAAAGATAATTAAAAAAATAACATCTAATTTCATTTTAAGGGTATTTTAGTCAATTAATATAAATTTAAAAAAAAAATTGCATATTTTAAGGGAAAATAGATTCTATTAATTTTAAAAATCTGATTGTATGGATGATAATTCTCATAATTTGGAAATTCTGACGGAATATGTTTATCAATATATTGAAAAATAACAAATATGGATGAACCATACAAGAATACACATTCTGACATAATATATATTTTGATTTAATGAACTTCTTGAAGAATAACAAAATTTTGGATACAAGTTAAAAAAAAATTTCATTACATTCTTAGAAAAGAAAAAAATTTATATACTATTCTATGAGAATGGTACACTTATTAATAACAAAAAACACAATATATAAATCATTCTACCAGAATATACTATTATATATATATATATATATATATATATATATATATATTATATTTCATTATATTGTATATTATTCTGGTAGAATAATCCATTCTTTTTGGAAGATTGGTGGTCATTGTTCATCTTCATACCATACAATGTTCATCTTCAAGATTCTATTCTGATAGAATCAGAATTCAAGATTTCATTCCAGTAGAATGTTGTAAGTTTCATATGTACCATGTTTTGCTTTGATATCTCTCGTTTCGTTCCCAGCCAAGAAAACAAGAACATTCTTGTTCTCGATTTCATGTATACCTGCAAATGAGAAATACAACCACTCATTGTTATTGCTTAATCTTCTTTCCATGGCAATTTCAAGCAATAAACACCACATTGAATTCTGTCAAGCAAAACAAACAACTTCCTATAAAACATTAACCCCAGAAATCCATTCCATTTATCCATTTCTATCAAGAACAATCAAACCCAAAACCCATCAACACTCTACTGAATTTTTGTCAAAACAAAGGAAAGAAAAACAAAATCAAAGGAATATCCATGACCACATTTGGTCTACTGCTACTCACGTTTTCAATAATACATACTAAGAAGTAAATTACGATAATTCAGAGGAATGGAAGGTAGAAGACAAACCAAGTGATTGGATCTTTGAGGTGAGCTTATCCAATTCGATTCAAATTGCATGAGAATCATCGGATCCGACTGCCACTCCATCAACGACTCTAATCTGAGTGAAAATTAGGGCAAAAAGGAATGGAAATAGGAGGGCATGGAGCCTGGAGATCGCTATGGATACGATCTAGACCCAAACCCAT